GAAAACAATTGTTTGATTTCCTCCAGCTTTGCTGCCCCTCTCTCTTCTGCACTTCACTGGCTTGCAAGAAAACATCTGCCAATTGTACTGTTCCACCAGAGATGGGGTTCATCTGCCTGCAATATTCTGATCATCGGTTTAGGTGTCCTTATTCCAATATCACATGCTGTTATAACCCAAGCTAAATGAGTTAAAAAGAAAAACACAGAGATAAACATAACTAAGAGACCCATGTCATGAGCAGCAATATTATTTACGCCTTGTCTATCCTATCTTGACAACAAAGTCTCATTTCCTGATTCTTCCATTTTCTGCCTAGACGCATTGTAAGGGAGCATTCTGTCCATCTCAGTGCTATTTCTGTTGGATAATAGAGTTGGAAGGGACCTTGGAGATCTTCTAGTTCAACTCCCTGTTCATTATACCATTTTGGACAAATGGATGTCCAATCTCTTCTTAAAAAACTTCTGGAGGCAAGTTGTTCCACTGATTGATTGTTCTAACTATCAGGAAATAATAATAATGATAATGATAATGATAATGATAATGATAATGATAATGATAATGATAATAATAATAATAATAATAATAATAATAAAGTTGAAAGGGACCTTGGAGGTCATCTAGTCCAACCCCCTGCTCAGGCAGGAAACCCTATACCATTTCGGACAAATGGCTGTCCAGTCTCTTCTTAAAAACTTCCAGTGTTGGAGCATTCACCGCTTGTGGAGGCAGGTTGTTCCACTGGTTAATTGTTCTGTCAGGAAGTTTCTCCTTAGTTCTAGGTTGCTTCTCTCCTTGATTAGTTTTCATCCATTGCTTCTTGTCCTGCCTTCAGGCGCTTTGGAGAATAGCTTGACTCCCTCTTCTTTGTGGCAAGCCCTAAGATATGGGAACACTGCTATCATATCACCCCTAGTCCTTCTTTTCATTAAACTAGGCATGCCCAATTCCTGCAACTGTTCTTCATATGTTTTAGCCTTCAGTCTCCTACATCCTCCCTGTCCATCAAATTGTTTCTTTAATGGGATCAGCTACTGTCATATTCCCTATCTCTGTTCTGCTACTGTTACATTAAAAAAATGTTAAAAAGGACCAAAGCTGGAATAACAGGCACTTTGGTGTAGTGGCTAAAGTTCTGGGCTAGAAACATGGAGACTACAAGTTGGAGTCCTCTCCTAAACATGAAAGGTTGTTGTGGGAAAAACAGGGAGTGGGTTTATCATGTAGGTATGCTGCTGTTTATCATGTAGGTATGCTGCCTAAAAATAAAAGAGAGTTTAAGAAAATTAAATAACTAACCAAAGACTGCTTCCTTTGGGCATATCAATGTTAATTACACTAGATACTGTTCTAGTAGCTTAGGAAAGTTCTATGTCTACATATCTCTCCATCTCTATCTGAACATGTGCCATCAAATCGTTAATCACATAGACCTTCTCTATCCTGGTCCTTCAGGTCTTCCAACAGTGTTCCCAACACTGTTGTACCCTTCATGGCTCTAATTCAGACCATCCACCTTGCTGCTTTTTATCCTCTTCTCTTTCCTTCCATTTTTCCCAATACTACGGAGTTTTCAAATGTTAGGCTTTTGCATAATATGTGCAAAATATGCTGACAAACAGGTAATATAAATTCTTGATCGTGGAGCTTATCTATTTCTCCTCCTGCTTTTGCATGTTTTCCATTTGATTTATTTTGTCTGCTAACAGTGTGTGATGTTTGATGATGTTTAATAGATAAACATCATGCTATATTTTTGCTTTGAGGGGTCCTTGGTGTTCCCTAATTTAGTTGCTTTCTTGCAGACATTTCATTACCCAACTAGGTAATATCATCAGTGTTCTCCTTTACTGGTATTTTTTGCTAGCTGAACTGAATGGTGTATGTGCTTGCTTTAGTTGGGATATAGAGATTGGCTGGGCGTCCACTGAATGAAAAGCAACCCATAGTTATTTTCCAACAATTTAACCATTGCACCTTTCTACTGTTTCATTCTTACGCAATTCTGTTTCAGCCTTGTGCTAACCTGATAAAGACCACTGAGTTAAAGCACTTACACAACTATTGTCCAAGGGAGTCTAGCACTATTTATGCAATTTTGACAAACCGCTGAGACAAACTGCTGCTGGATCCAACTCTTTAGGAATATTACCATAGTGGCAGCAAAGGCTGATCAGGGATCAAAGGGGAGACTGCATAACCACAATTGGTCACCTTGCCAATAAGTACTACTTTACTGATTATGAGACAGTGCTCCAAAATAAAAGGTGAGAAAGCACAAAAGACTTTACATACTTCGTGGTGACTATTGCATGTTCTCAGTTTGATGAGGGAAACACCACATTTCCTGGGATCCAGCTAGCAACAGCACTAGCAATAGCACTTAGACTTACCATGCTTCCCTGAGAATAAGACTGGGGTTGTTGTTGTTGTTGTTTGCCTCCAAAAGAGGCACCAGGTCTTATTTTTGGGGAATGTCTTACTCACCTCCGGCACCAACAGCCCCACCCAGCAGGTCCACTTCTTCTGGGACAGAAGGAGCGGCTTCATTCTGCAGCTGGATTCCGGCCTGCATTTTGAAGTCAGGCTTTTCTGGAAGACCTATGGTTGAATCCATAGCTCGGTCCTCGGCTGCAGAGGTCTTAAAGAACCGAGCTATGGATTGAATTCATAGCTCTGTTCTCGGCTGCACCGGCCTTACGGAAAGACCTGTGACTGAGAAATGCAGGCCTGGCTGCAGAAGAGGGCACAGAAGAAGTGGGCTGGTGAGGACAGGCCTGGCTGCAAGGTAAGTGGGTGCAGGGTGCATGGGGCAGATCCACACACCCCACCCCCACCCTAGCTTGATTTTTAAGTGTGTGCCTTGCCCCAAAACTAGGGATTATTTTTGGGGTAGGGCTTATATTAGGACCACCTCCAAAAATCAAGTTAGGGCTTATTTTCAGGGTAGGCTTATTTTCAGAGAAACATAGTATATTACAGTCCTCTCTAAGCAGTTTACAAAGAAAGCATATTGCCTCCAACAATCTGGGTCCTCATTTTATTGACCTCAGAAGGATGGAAGGCTGAGTTAACCTCGAGCCAGTGAGAATTGAACTCCTGGCAGTCAGCAGAATTGGCCTGCAATACCGCATTCTAATCGCTGCGCCACGACAGCTCATAAGGACGACTTTAGCCTTTCTCATTCTTGGGGCAGAGGATGAGATGGTGCCAAGCGATCACAGCAGAAACGTGATGTTGTCAGGCCATGTTGAGGTGCTAGCGAGCAAAGGCTCTTCCTCAACAGCATGGGCAAACTACGAGGATTTTGTGCTTCATCAATCAAAGACATCTGGAGCACATCAGCTGGGAAAATATGCCAACCTCTCAATTTTAGTAAACACGAAAGGGGTTAATGGATAATCTAGAGGAGGGTGTGGGAGGAGAAGGAGGCATGGAATAAAGACTGAAGCTCCTTCTTCATCTCAGCCCCCTGCTGCTGTGCTTGTTGGGTTGAATTACTTCCATAATGCATGTGGAATGTCCTCTCTCCCATAACACTTTAACATCTGGGGACTTACCCTGCTCAGCAATGCACAGCGAAAGAAAGCAATGTTTTGGTTTGTTCTGTTGCCAAGGCCCTTTTGGCTTTGTTCCTGAGCCAAAGCTGAGAAATGTCTGGGATATCAAGGTGGAGCATTTCCCTTTGAAAGGATTGCCTCGTCTTTCTTTTCCTCCTCGTGGCCAGGCATGCCACACACAGAGGGGAACAATGGAGGCAATTATGTCCACGCGCCTCCATGCTGCTCCACATCAGAGGAAGCACAAAAGGGCTAAAGCCTTTTTTGCCTAGACCATCCAGGGGAAGGGATAGATGCAGCTTTTCATGCTCATAAGAGAAAATAAATTACGACTGCAAGCCACAGCTGTTTAAACGGATCGTATTGTCCTCCATCTAATCCCCGAATCCATGTGGGGGTTTCTTTGTTCAGTTTTTTTTTGATGAGCAAGCTATTTCTTGTAAACGATACCCTGAAAAGCTGAGGTCCAGACCCTTTTATTTACAGACTGCCAGTGCACATGTTGTGCCAAGAAGCAAACTGCAGATGCAATGAAGGGCAATGAATGAAAGCATGTTTCCTGTACTTTTGGGAAACATGAATGTGCTTGCAGGCCTGTTTTCTGGTCTCTGGAATTCCCTAATTGTAAACATGGCGATGCAATAAAAAAAGGGCAAATTCTCCACAGATAGAAAATCGTTTTGCTTGATCCTGGGGAGCTACTCCTCAGAAAACCTAATGGGATGGCTTTAGTTTATAAAATGTATGTTCTCTTTTCATCAAGTGCCGTAATAAAAATTGTAATAAATCTAGACCGGTCTTTCCCCAAATGGTGCTCTCCCAGGCTGCAGCTTCCAGAATTTTGAGGTAATATGTTCAAAAACCTTTGCCATTCTGTCTAAAACCCATGCTAACTAGAACTTCTGGAAGTCAGAATCCAACACATCTGGAAGGCGTTGGAAATGCTAGTCTATGTAATGCAATCTTAAAGTGAGGAATGCATGAAAGCTTGAAACAAAAAGATTTTGATGTTCCTTTTCTATTACTTTGTCTAGTTTGTGCTCCCATTAGTTCTTGCTTGTGGGCAGGTGGTATATTTCTTACAGATTTTCCAATGCACTACTGTTACACTGATGAACTGAACAGTTTGGGGACTCCTGGTTTATACAGATCTGAAAAAAGCAACTGAAACAGACAAGGGCTCCCAACTCTGATCTTTTTCTAACACTGAGGTCAGTAAGCTACGATACACAAAACTTTATGTCTGAGAGTACAATAACTTATTTGCATCATCTAAAGTTATGCAATGAAATCTCCAATAATCAGAGCATCCAAAGGCAGTTCCCTATCTTGAGTGCTTTAAACTTGTTCTTAGCATCTGAACCTTTGCTTCAAACTTTCGATGGCTTCTGAAAAAGTACGTCCTGTTTTTCAAAAGTGCTGTCACTTGAAACTGCTTCACAAATATCTAACCTTAATATATTTTTCCACTGGTGTCACAGGTCGGATCTGTAAGTGTTCTGGAAGCGGGATCTTCGGCTTAGCAACTTGTTTCTTTTCATCTTTTACCAACTTAAAAAAAAATAAAATAGAAAAATGTACTAAAATAAATTGACACTCCAGGCTGAGTCATGCATTGTGATAACATAATAGTTCATATCCATCTAGATATTTATATCTATTTGAGCAGTACCTGAAGACCTTCTGCTTGGCTTCTGACACTATTCAAGGCTATTTGTTACGTACCTTTGGATGCTGTTAAAATTCATCTTTCATATAGAAAATCACTTCTCATTTTAAATCTGGACAACAGATTTAAATAATGTAATATAGCTTAAGGTAATGTAACTTACACTGCACTGTACATTTTTATAGGTAGTTCTTGACTTACAAGCGGTCCCATAGTGACCATTAAAAGTTCTGACAGAGATACCTGGAGGTACTTATGACCTGGATTTGAAGTTCCAACAGTCACTTCTTCCCATGGTCACATGACCGCATTTCACGTGCTTGGCATCCGCGCCACATTTATAGCAATTTGCAACAGCCTGTGATCATGTGACCCTGTTTTGCAATGGTTTTGCCCAAGCTCTGCATTTACTTCTGGGTTTTGGCCAAACTCCACCCACAGTGAAGCATTGATTCACATAATGACCACAGCATGTGTTCGCTTAATGAGTACAGCAAAAAAGTTCATAAAATCAGTTCAGCCATCTGACTGACCCGCTTTATGACCATCATGAGTTACAACCATGATGGGCAGGCTACCGTACGGTCATAACTTGAGGATTACTTCTACTCATATTTCAGTGGGATTTTCTCCCAGGGAAATGAGAATAAGATTACAGCTAGCAGACGGAGAAATATGATTGGTTTCATGTTATGGCAACCCAGCCAGTGATATCTGCAGGGGGCCTAACAGCATCAAAATGGCAGAAGTAGCTGGAGTAATCAAGGCCCGCTTCTTTTTAATTTGTGCATTGCATGTTAAAAGCTGTTGTTGTTCGTCCATCGATTTCGATGAAGACCTTGACATCTTATGGATTATGGGCCATCTTCGATTGACTGCTTGATTTCATATTTTGACACTGTTGATGCTTTCCTTAGGAATGTCCCTGAACCCAGCAATAGCAATTGGTAGGTTATGGTTTATGATACTGTGCACTGTAAATTTTGGATTATTCCATAAAGTATGGCTAAGCTAGTACAAAATGTAAGCCTCATTGGTAAATATTTGACATACATAGATATTATTATATACTTAAGTATTTATATACTTAACACCTCCAAAATAAGTCTTGTAATGGGCTTAGATTTAAAGCCACAGCCTCTACCCCAAATACTATGCCTCCTCTTATTACACAGAAAAACTAAAAGTAAAGGTTTCCCCTGTCCAGTTGTGTCCAGCTCTAGTGGGCAGGGCTCATCTCCATTTCCTAGCCGAGGGAGCCAGCCTTGTATGAAGATGCTTCCATGGTCATGTGGCTAGCATGACTCTACGTCGAGGTTCACAGAACGCTGTTAGCATGGCCAAATATTTTATACAGAATTTAGAAGCAATTCTTAGACAAAGCAAAAAAACTTAGGCTGGGGAATTCTGGAAGCTGAAATCCATCATAACTGGAATTGATTGAGAAGGATGATATACTCAGCTGAGCAATATTTTCCCTAGCTTTAGGGACATATCTTCCAAGTAGTACATGACATTGTGGGAGGACAGCATGTTAGTCAAAGATAGCCCAATCTCAGAAGGATTCTACATTTTCCGGCTGTCAAGCTCCAAGCCCAAGAAAGACATGTTGCCTTTCTTCTAAGCAGATTTCTTTACCTCCAAGCCCTCAAGACATGGCTTTTTCAACAAGCGGGCCTGACCTAGGGTGAGTTTTAAATAGGGACAATTTTTAACGATTTTAAAGAGCCACAGCTACCAATATTTGGGTTTTAATTGGTTTTTAGTAGGGGAAATTTTTTGTATGATGTTTTAATACGCTGTGAGCCGCCCTGAGTCCCATGGGGAGAAGGGCGGCATATAANGCTTAGCAACTTGTTTCTTTTCATCTTTTACCAACTTAAAAAAAAATAAAATAGAAAAATGTACTAAAATAAATTGACACTCCAGGCTGAGTCATGCATTGTGATAACATAATAGTTCATATCCATCTAGATATTTATATCTATTTGAGCAGTACCTGAAGACCTTCTGCTTGGCTTCTGACACTATTCAAGGCTATTTATTACGTACCTTTGGATGCTGTTAAAATTCATCTTTCATATGGAAAATCACTTCTCATTTTAAAGCTAGCAACAAAATCTGGACGACAGATTTAAATAATGTAATATAGCTTAAGGTAATGTAACTTACACTGCACTGTACATTTTTATAGGTAGTTCTTGACTTACAAACGGTCCCATAGTGACCATTAAAAGTTCTGACAGAGATACCTGGAGGTACTTATGACCTGGATTTGAAGTTCCAACAGTCACTTCTTCCCATGGTCACATGACCGCATTTCACGTGCTTGGCATCCATGCCACATTTACAGCAATTTGCAACAGCCTGTGATCATGTGACCCTGTTTTGCAATGGTTTTGCCCAAGCTCTGCATTTATTTCTGGTTTTTGGCCAAACTCCACCTACAGTGAAGCATTGATTCACATAATGACCACAGCATGTGTTCGCTTAATGACGACAGCAAAAAAGTTCATAAAATCAGTTCAGCCATCTGACTGACCTGCTTTATGACCATCATGAGTTACAACCATGATGGGCAGGCTACCGTATGGTCATAACTTGAGGATTACTTCTACTCATATTTCAGTGGGATTTTCTCCCAGGGAAATGAGAATAAGATTACAGCTAGCAGACGGAGAAATATGATTGGTTTCATGTTATGGCAACCCAGCCAGTGATATCCGCAGGGGGCCTAACAGCATCAAAATGGCAGAAGTAGCTGGAGTAATCAAGGCCCGCTTCTTTTTAATTTGTGCATTGCATGTTAAAAGCTGTTGTTGTTCGTCCATCGATTTCGATGAAGACCTTGACATCTTATGGATTATGGGCCATCTTTGATTGACTGCTTGATTTCATATTTTGACACTGCTGATGCTTTCCTTAGGAATGTCCCTGAACCCAGCAATAGCAATTGGTAGGTTATGGTTTATGATACTGTGCACTGTAAATTTTGGATTATTCCATAAAGTATGGCTAAGCTAGTACAAAATGTAAGCCTCACTGGTAAATATTTGACATACATAGATATTATTATATACTTAAGTATTTATATACTTAACACCTCCAAAATAAGACTTGTAATGGGCTTAGATTTAAAGCCACAGCCTCTACCCCAAATACTATGCCTCCTCTTACTACACAGAAAAACTAAAAGTAAAGGTTTCCCCTGTCCAGTTGTGTCCAACTCTAGTGGGAAGGGCTCATCTCCGTTTCCTAGCCGAGGGAGCCAGCCTTGTATGAAGATGCTTCCATGGTCATGTGGCTAGCATGACTCTACGTCGAGGTTCACAGAACGCTGTTAGCATGGCCAAATATTTTATACAGAATTTAGAAGCAATTCTTAGACAAAGCAAAAAAACTTAGGCCTGGGGAATTCTGGAAGCTGAAATCCACCATAACTGGAATTGATTGAGAAGGACGTTATACTCAGCTGAACAATATTTTCCCTAGCTTTAGGGACATATCTTCCAAGTAGTACATGACATTGTGGGAGGACAGCATGTTAGTCAAAGATAGCCCAATCTCAGAAGGATTCTACATTTTCCGGCTGTCAAGCTCCAAGCCCAAGAAAGACATGTTGCCTTTCTTCTAAGCAGATTTCTTTACTGTTCCTTACCTGTAGACCGAAATCTTGGCAAATTAAAGCAAACTATTTGCACTATAAAACATATACTCTGAGAACTATTAGGGAGGAGCCATCTTCACCCCTTTTCTCTCACACAAACTATGTAAATGGTCTCTTCCTCCTCTGGAATATCCCCTCCTTCCTGGGAATCTGGATAACATTCAGATGTTGCTAAAATTTATTATTAGTTTATTAACAACATTTATCAGTCTAATATGCTGCTGTCAGGCTCCTTTTGATGTTCAGTAATATACAGATATAGCTAGGATTGGCGTACAAAGTGACTAGTCTTATCACTCAAGCTAAGGCTGTGAGAGAGTATTCCTTTAAAAAAATGCAATAACATCTTACCCATTTTTCTAGTGCACGGGTGTCAAACTCGCGATGTCAAGTGAAGTGTCATGACGTATTGTGACTTTTCCCCCATTGCTGGCAATGGGGTGGGCACGGTTTTGGAGTGACGCATCCAGCCCGCAGGCTGGCAGTTTGACACCCCTGTACTAGTGTAAGCCTCCCAATTGCTGTTCAACACAAGTTATGAAATACAGTATATCCATTCTTCATATATGAATATTGCACAGAAGAAAATGTTACCTCTTTAAGTGGGGTCAACAAAAATCCCCAGCGTGTGGGCCATTTTCGGGCAGCTTCACGCTCTGTTTCAATGTGAGTCTTCCTAATCCAAGAAAAAAAAGTCTTTGTAAAACTTGACAAAGTCACCTAACAAAGCCCTTTACATTGCATCCCTCCAACTTGGACATGTAGAACCTCAAAATTTATTGGTTTCTAACTTGCATGCTGTACTGTAGATATCTAGATAGAAGGATCATTTCTGGAAATAATTCTATACATTTGATAAACAATGTGCAAATTGATGCAGGCACATAGATTTCAAGTTTGTTCTATCCTTTAGCAAACTGTGAATCAATGTAAGGTGAAAACTCCCCCCCCCCCCAGTCCTTGAGAAGAATTTAGTAGATTAAGTCAATTTGCTCATTATTCTCAAAATACATCATTGTGATGGGCGAAGAGACAAGCATATATAGAAAGAAGTCTTGCCAGTTTTATTAAAATACTTTTTCTTTGCCCATGTGTGCCTCATTGCAGCAATTCACAGGTTATTAAATTTTAAGCGGTTGCATGAAACATTTTGAAGTAAGCGATTAGCAGATTGTAACCTTTTCATCTGAAGTGGGTTAACTTCTTGACCTAGGATCCAATTTGGAGTCACACTTTTGCCTTAAATTTATATCACTTTGCTGGAGTGATGCTGCAAAAGCAGTGTCGACTGCAGTTTGAATAGTATTTTAGAAAATACGACATCAGAAGCAAGTGTTATTTTGCTCCTCTTTCTCTTGATTCACTTAGAGCAGGGTGTCAAACTCGCAACGTCACGTGACATGTCGCGATGTATCGCGACTTTTTTTTGTCAATGCCAGCAATGGGGTGGGCGCGGTTTCGTTATGATGCATCCAGCCCACAGGCCGGCAGTTTGACACCCCTGACTTAGAGTTCCCAGCCAGCAAAGTATTTTCTTCTCTCTTTCACATATGAGAGAGCATGAAGGAAACTGATAAAATAAATCAATAATTATTACTGAATGGTTACTATTCATTACCTAATTTATTGAAGAAATTCTTTCATGTATTTCAGAGTAGTTTATTTCCCACCTGCTCCTGATAAAGGATTAGGGTCCAGATGTAAGAAAAACATTGTTTTTTAAAATGCTTAGAGTTACACTCAAGATAGTTCCAACTTAGCAGCCAGATAATGGATTCAGTGGATGGATGTGGGATGAGAAAAAGAATTGCTGTTTTCCTAGCCTATATTTTTTTTTTCACAGACAGGATGGAAGGTGTTTGCTCATCTTCTGATAGGAACATGCTCCTGAAGTAACAAAGATTGCTTTTAAAAATTAAGCAAAGCCACAAAAATACTGCGGGAGATGACGAGGCTGAGCCCGAGGGGGTGGGGTTGGGTGTCAAATATGTTCTCTGTCTTGAATCCCTTTGTGCTCACAAATCCAAGTCCAGCCCACCTTGATTTCCACTGACTCTTATCTACCGCCAATTTGGTGTGAGTAGTTCAGATTCTTGTAGAGAGCTTTAGCGTATAATAAACCTGTATATTTTCCTGCACTTGACAACTACATGATTACATGTATTTTGTATTGTGTACAGGAAGTTCTCAATTTACAACCGCAATTCGAACCAGAATTTCTGTTTCTAAGTAAAGCAGTTGTTCAATGAGTCGCACCCAATTTTACCACTTTTTTTTGCCCTGGTTGTTAAGTGAATCACTGCAATTGCTTGTCTGGGAAGGTTTCAGATGGCTAACCACAAGACCATGGGAATGTTGCATCCATTGTAAATACATGCTGTTTTTTTCATCACGTGACTGTGGGATGCTGTTGACCTAAACTTGATTTGCAGTGGTGGCCATGCACAGGGGGAATGCTCCAGACTATATTTTACTAGCATGTTAAAAAAAACCAACCCCAAACAGTTGTTTAAATGGCACAGCTGGGCACATTACGTTGGTGATGATACATTTACAGTATTCTAGGTATTCATCACACAATTCTTTTTTGGAGTAAGCAATATTAAGCAAAGCACAGAAAAGTGACAAGTAGTGGAAAAAAGAAGTTAATGTCAGGAGATAAGAAAAAAAAGAAAAGGAAATCTAGTTAAATTTATGGGCTAGGGACGAGATGAAGGAAATGTCATGAGTACAAGCAGAAGAAAAAAGAATTACAGGACCACGTTTGTGCTAAATTAGGGAGATATGAAGATGATCTCTGAAATACTTCCAAAATTCCTTTACTTTAGTTTCATCCCAAATAATTTAATCACTTTTAGTCTCAATTACCTTCATTCTTTTGGAGGTTCCTTTACACTCTGAAAACTTGCAAAACTATGTTATATTTCCATCAGACTTACGTTGCATTTTCTTTGCCTCTTTTAAACTTTGCTTCTTGTCTTTGACTCTGTTCTATGCAAATCTATCTTCTGAACCAGTTTTAAGGTTTAAAAATGGGAATACAATGCTACATTGGCTTTCTTTCTTCCTCCATGGCTGCTCCCAGTTGGTATGAGAGATCTAGCCTAAGGCTCCTGCATTGTGGAGGATCTCCAGGGCTCAAGTGTCTTTCTGCTTTTAACACCTTCTGGCTCTCTATAAACTTCCAGGTGCATTTTAAGGGTTTTGGTTATCCTTCTTAAAGCCTTTTGTGGCACAAGGCTGGGTTACCTGGGACTGGCTGCCTCCAAGTGTCTGCTTGTCCCATTAAATTCAGCACAGCAGTCATGCTTCAGATCACTTTCATGAAATAATGTCATTCAGTGAGACTCGGGTGTATCTTCTTTGTCACTGTGCCTCCCCTATGGGATATCATTCCCCCAAGATTCAGACAGTCCCAACTCTTCGGCCTCTCTGGAAAACCCAAGGAACATTCCCCCAAGCATTGGACCACAATGTAAGATGAGCTTCTATAGAGCGTAAAACCCTTGAATGAGATATATGTTGATGGATCTCAGATGCTATTATTATTTTGCTCATTCTGTCTGGCTTTCTGTTTATATCTTTACTTTTAATTCCTTGTTTTATATTTTTATTGTAAATTGCACACAGCTCTTCTTGCAATTCGGATAAATTATATAAATCTAACAAATAAACACTCTTCTTCTCTATATACTCATAGTATATAGATGGTGTACATATCATGTACAATAGTTGTAGTCACCCTAATGTTTTTGCAACATTCTCTTATTCGTATTTTTCCTCTCTTTCAGCCTCTTGCATTATATCATTTCCACTATTCTTTTTTCATACTCCCTACCAAGCTCTTTCCATATAGTTTTCTGGTAGTATCCATATCAACATTCTTTATATCCACTTTCCATTTGTTCAGCTGGAAGAGAAATCTATTCCAGTCAATCCATATATTTATATTCTAATAGTTTTTCAAACATGATCCATATTTTCTCTTCCCACAACCTTTCTACTTTTTTCCTCATTTCTTTCACTTCCTTCTTTTTCTTCTATGTCCATTTCCTCCCAACATATACTCTACCAGAGTAGAGTCGGTCCTACCGTACATTCATAACCTTTCACCATCCTTATATCCTTTATTAATTCTCTCAGCCAGTCATCATAAAGTTCAAATGAATCATGCTTTCAGATTTAGAATTCTTCCTTTGCCAAGTGCACACAAGAACAGAATTTACTTAAACTATGTAATTAAGAGAGACCTTTTTCTAAGAATGGAGTTCTGTGTGAAACATGAGTACTACTTTTTTAAAGTAGATACTCACCCATGACTTTTTTTTAAAAAAACAACTTCCTCATCTTGTTTCCACTCATCAACCAAAGTAACTTTTTTCTCTGGACCCCATTAATATAGAATGTGGCATATTTTTCCATAAACCGTTCCTTGTTATTTTCATTACCATTATTCAACCTATAAACTTCTACTTTTATCTATACTCCTAACAATATAGATGATGTTAATTCCTACTTCCTGACATCATTTAGTTGATTCACTCTTAATTAATCTTATAGCTTCAATACATTTTCTATTATTGTTTGTTTGGATCCCACAAGATCAAACCAGATTCACATTTTTCCTTCTTTCTCTTAGAAATATGTTTTTGTGAAACTATTTCCTTTGTCTCATTTCCTTTAATTCATACTCTTCACCACATACTCTTTCTACATTTCTAGTTACAATCTTCCATATACCATGGTTGTCATCAGAGAGACCCATGGATACTGATCTCTATTGCCCATCATGATTTGGGACAATTAAGACTTTTACATAATGCCTTTTACCTGTTGGCTACATTATCTGTCCCAAACACACCCATGTCTCATGTAGCATACAGTAGGATACACAAATCCTCAAAAAATGATAGTGATTATCAGTTCTCACCAAGCAACATATCAAAAACGGTATCTTCAATTATCAATAAAAATATTAAATAGACCAAAAAACATTTGTGAATTGTGCTCTTTAAAATTACTAATTTATAGTTATCATTAAAATATTCTATAGCAGTGTTTCTCAATCTTGGCAAGTTTAAGATCTGTTGACTTCAGCTCTCAGAATTCCCCAGCCAGCATGGTTCTATGAGCAATTGTTGGAGTTGAAGGTCACATCTTAAAGTTGTCAAGGTTGAGAAATGCTGCTCTATATAGCACAGGTGTCAAACTCACCACGTCACATGATGTATCGTGACGTATCGCGACTTTTTTCGCATTGCCAGAGCTGGGGTGGGCACGGCCTCCGCATGATGCAACTGGCCTACGGGTCGGCAGTTTGACACCCCTGTTCTACAGGGAATCAAATAAGTGGAGGATACCAGATTCAAAAAAAGTAGCTGTAGTTAGAGGCAATGGAGAGAAATATCATGTTTTCTCAGGTCCAAGCTACATTGTTCATCCAATTTTTATGCCACCCTTTGCACAGAAGTGCATTCTTGAGCAGACATATCTATATACTAGTAGAAAACAACCGGTGGATCATTTAAAAAGTGAAAAAAAAAGAACTTCTAATATCCCAGGCTTTTAAATTTATTTCTCTTCAGTACAATTGCTCAAAATAAAAAAAAAGTTCAAATTGGATGGTCTTCTTGCTAAGAACAGAACAGAACAACACAGTTGGAAGGGACCTTGGAGGTCTTCTAGTACAACCCCCTGTTCAAGCAATAAGCCCTATGGCAGGGGTCCTCAACCTTGGCCACTTTAAGACTTGTGGACTTCAATTCCCAGAATTCCTTTGCTGGCTGAGGAATTCTGGGAGTTGAAGTCCACAAGTCTTAAAGTGGCCAAGGTTGAGGACCCCTGCCCTACGGCCTATACCATTTCAGACAAATGGTTGTCCAATCTCTTCTAAAAAAACCTCCAGTGTTGGAGCGTTACAGCTTCTGGAGGCAGGTTGTTCCACTGATTAATTATTCTGTTAGGAACTTTCTCCTTAGTTCTAGGTTGCTTCTCTCCTTGATGAGTTTCCTAAGATTTTAGATTGTTGCCTTTTGAGATTTAAAAGAAAGAAAGAAAGAAACTATGACAAGAGCTCTTAAAACATTGAGGCTAGAATCTTGAAGGTAGCGTAAGCTTTTGAATTTTGCTGTCCCTGTGAAATACTGACAGTTTTAAAAGCAGCTTTTTGCCTCTTGTGATAACTATACTTTTGTGCCATTAAACTGACACTGCTAGAGCAATATGACAAAACTTCGTCATATTCAAGCACTTTGCCGTTTTCCTTGAAAAGCCACCCAGATTTTTGTGAGAAAGGACATGAGTGCATGCATTGACGTCTGTACATATAAACATTCTCTGGCTTTGGGAAATTCTGTGAATCCTAGATGTTCAGAATTGGTATGGAGCATAACTAAACTTGAACTTCCCTAATCTGCAGCCAGCACCTCTGAAAGGTGCCATTTTGGAGAAGATTAGTGTTTATATTGGTGGCATCAACTTTCTGGGAAGTCTAAGAAGACACTGGAATACTTATCTCTCAGTCTGCATTAAAACCTTATTCTCTTTCACCATCCTCTTTCAGACACGTGGTGTCTTCTCACATCTCAGCCCAATACAAATTAACCACAAGGGAATTAGAATAAACATGGGAGAGAGATACACTGGAATTACCTGGGTGCCTGAGTAAACATCTAGAACTTGGAGACTTCCACTATGGTGGGAGAGGGCTTTCAAGCTGTTCCTCAAGAGCAGTGTTTCTCAACCTTGACAATTTTAAGGCATGTGGACTTCAACTCCCAGAATTCCACAGCCAGCATTGCTGGCTGTGGAATTCTGGGAGTTGAAGTCCACATGCCTTAAAATTGTCAAGGTTGAGAAACACAGCTCAAGAGGTTGTCCTCAAATAGGTTGGACTTCAACTCTCATAATCAACACACCTGGAAGTCATTTGCTACTTCAGAATACTTTGCCCCACCCTTGACACCCTCTGGGCTTCAACTCCCCAAAAGTTTAGCAATGAGTGTACAGTCTTGGGAATTCTGGGAGTTGAAGTCCACACATGAAGATTAAAACTAGGGAAAGGTCGTCAATAGCCTCTGTTTTGGAGCAATTCGGAAGCGGGGTGGGGCCCGGAAAGGATTTAGGGTAAGTTAAGCTAAATGTTTGGGGCAGACTTCCTATAGCCACCCCCATAGCAGAACATCGGGGGATTTTTTTGTATTTTTTTTTTTAAAAAAAGAGGAGGCGATGGGGTGGAGGTCGTCCAGCGGCGGCTTTACCAGATCTGAGCTTCAGCCACGAAGTTGAGCTTGTTTTTCTGAGACATCGCAGATGCTTTCTCGAACTAGCCGACGTCTCCGGCCAGGAGGAAAACAAATGCCCTGTTGGGGTCCGGTCCAGCCACAAGCCGGCGAGGCACAAGGCAGCGACGAGACGCGGCGGCCGGCTTGCTGCGGCGGCTTCCGTTGCCAGGCGACGGCTGGGCAACGCAGAGGGAGGGAAGGGGGAGGCCGGGTGCTTCTGCCAAGGATGGCTGGAGGGATGAAGTCGCTCAGAGGAGGGCAGGGCCCTGGCTTCACGCATGAGATAAGGGTGCGAACATTGGGTGTGTGTGTGTGTGTGTGTGTGTGTGTGTGTGTGTGTGTGTGAGAGAGAGAGAGAGAGAGAGAGAGAGAGAGAGATTAGAGAATTTGGGAGAAAGGGAGAAAGAGAGAAAGAAAGAAAGAAAGAAAGAAAGAGAGAGAGAGAGAGAGAGAATGAGAGAAATTAGAGAATTTGGGAGAAAGAGAGAAAGAGAAAGAAAGAAAGAAAGAAAGAAAGAAAGAAAGAAAGAAAGAAAGAAAGAAAGAAAGAAAGACAGACAGACAGACAGACAGACAGACAGACAAAGATTTTGTCCTGGGCTGCTTGTCTCCCATTTTGTCGTCCTGAATGGATCCGGAGCCCCATTCCCCCACCCCCAGCTGAATGGATCCAGAGACCCTCTGGCAATTGTGATTCATTTAACAAGCTATGATCAATCCGGTCAATTCCCCAACAAGCATGTCGGCTAGGGAATTCTGGTGTTGCAGTCTACAGTATACATCTCAAAGTTGCCAAGTTAGAAAAACACCGACCTAGAGCAAGATTTGAATCAAGGCTTGGTTGTTGATTTTTTTTTTTTTGAGCTGGAGTTCTAGTGGCTTTACAGAAATAGTTTTTCTTGCAAATGCCTTCTCTTGGGATGTTCTTTTTCAACTTCCCAGCCTCATCTTTACCCAAGAGATTTCTAGGTGGTCTGTAACCTGGTTCAAACAACAACAACAACAACAACAATAATAAGAGTTGGAAGATACCTTGGAGGTTTTCTAGTCCAACTCCCTGCTCAGGCAGGAAACCCTATATCATTTCAGACAAATGGATGTCCAGTCTCTTCTTTAAAACTTCCAGTGTTGGAGCATTCACAACTTCTGGAGGCAGGTTGTTCCATTGATTAATTGTTCTAACTGTCAGGAAATTTCTTCTTAGTTCTAGGTTGCTTCTCTCTTTGATTAGTTTCTGTCTATTGCTTCTTGTCCTGCCTTCAGGTGCTTTGGAGAATAGCTTGACTCCTTCTTCTTGGTGGCAACCCCTGAGATATTGAAACACTGCTATCATGTCACCCCTCGTCTTTCTCTTCATTCAACTAGACATACCCAATTGCAGCAACTGTTCTTTATATGTTTTAGCCTCCAGTCCCCTAATCACTTTTTTTTGTTCTTCTCTGTACTCTTTCTAGAGTCTCAACATATTTTTTACATCATGATGACCAAAACTGGATGCATTATTCCAAGTATGGCCTTACCAAGGCGTTGTAAAGTGGTATTACCACTTCACGTGATCTTGATTCTATGAGGCTTAGGTGGCTATACATTTTGGGACCACAACAATTTTACAGAGAAAGCATTCAGTTGGAGAAGATTGTCCTAGAAAAGCAACCAGTTTTTTCAACCGGTTGAATGCTTCTTGTAGAAAATATTTTTGCCTCTCTTGTATAATGTTAGGCATTTTAAGGAGACCAAAGAGGAAATGTTAAAGTGGAAGGGATATGGGTATAACAATTTCTGCAACTGAACTCTTTTGACTGATTTATAACTTATGACATTGGTTAGAGTCTTTAATAAATCTCTATTTCCAATGCTTTTCTACGAACAGGTGAAACACTAATAATGGATTAGCTTACAGGTTGTTGTTCAGTCACTAAGTTGTATCCAACTCTTTGCGACCCCATGGACCATAGCATGCTGGGCTCCCCTGTGCTTCAATGTCTCCTGGAATTTGTTTAAACTTATGTTCATTGCATTGATGACACTATCCAACTGTCTCATCCTCTCCCTTTCCCTTCTCCTTTTGCCTTCAGTCTTTCCTAACATCAAGGTCTTTTCCAAATATGCTTTTTCGTGAGGCAATTGGATTTTCTTGTGTTTTCTTTGAAGATGTTTCCCTTTTCATGCAAGAAACTTCTTCAGCTCTGACTAGATGGTGGGGAATGGACGGATTTATAATCCTTGTAGGCAGCTGGTCATTTGTATTCTTTTAGAGTTGAAACAACCACTTCATAAACACATGGCACAACATAAGAAAACAAACCCATCAGGACAAGATTCAGTAGTCCATCTGCATTTAAAAGACAAAGGGCACTCTTTCGAAGACAGCAAAGTCTACATTTTGGACAGAGAGGACCACTAGTTTGAAAGAGGGGTCAAAGAGGCCATCTGTGTCAAAAATGAGCAGCCCTCTCTCAACAGAGGGGGAGGAATATGATATCATCTATCTCAGGGGTATCAAACTTGATTGCGTTACTTGATGTATCATGACGTATCACAATGTTTTTTGCCTTTGCGGAGCCAGGGTGGGCATGGCCTGTGCGTGACGAATCCGGCCCATAGGCTGCCAGTTTGACACCCCTAATCTATCTCCAGTCTATAACACAGTCCTTTCAGCAGTTCCAAGAAACCTCCATACCCATTTGCACTGCTCATGTGACCCTGAGGACACAGATAAACCTCCAAGTGGCCTCAACGATTCTCTAAAAGAATGCAAATGACCAGCTGTCTGCAAGGAGTATAAATCCTTCCATTCCCCACCATTCAATGAGAGCTGAAGAAGCTTCTTGGATAAGAAGCAAAACATCTTCAAAGAAAAAACAAGCAAGTCCAGTTGCCTCATGAAAAAGCATCCTTGGGATAACTATGACCTGAATTACTGAGAATCTCCATAGACAAGGTCTTTTCCAATTAGTCCAGGATCTAGCCCAGGTAGAAATCATATAAAAGCTTTGATTGCATGCTGTGACATGTTCCCAGATTTTTTAAAAATAATATACTGATCCTACGTTGATTCTTAAATTGTAATGCTTCTATTCTAACCTAGAACTAAGGAGAAACTTCCTGACAGTTAGAACAATTAACCAGTGGAACAACCTGCCTCCAGAAGTGGTGAACGCGCCAACATTGGAAGTTTTTAAGAAGAAACTGGACATCCATTTGTCCAAAATAGTATAGGGTTTCCTGCCTGAGCAGGGGGTTGGACTAGATGACCACCAAGGTCCCTTCCAACTTTATTATTATTATTATTATTATTATTATTATTATTATTATTATTATTATTATTATTATTATTATTATTATTATTATTATTATTATTATTATTATTATTATTATTATGTGTTATTGTTTTAATGTTTTAACTTGCTGATTTTATTTTGTATTGTGTTTTTATAAAGACAGTTTTTAGGAGATCACAGCAGAACAGATAAGGTCCTGCTTGTGACCAACTATTTCAGAACATTACCTTGTATTGTTTTAATGGTTTAAAGCATTTGGCCCGGCAGATTTAACACTTTTATTGCTTATTTATCTGTGCAGAATTATCACATTTTCTGCCATGTAGAAATGATATGGCAAATTCAAAAGAATAATTCAAATGCTACATTCTAGCATTTACTGTAACTTTATAACTCACAAACACCTTTCTGTCATGCAGATTAAGATTCTATTGCTTACAAAACTTTTTTTATTCCATCATTCACTTCTTACCTTTCTATGCTTGGCTGAATTTTATTAAATTTCTGTTTACTTCAAATAAGCAGATGTTATAAAGACACAGTAGCTCAACTTTAAGATTAACATAGGATTAATAATGAATGAGAACTGTCACCGTTTAAACCAGGGGTGGAGAACTATAGCCTTTGTATGATCTGTGAACTTCAACTTCCAGAATCCCTGAGCCAGCCATACAGATTATATAAGAGACATAGTTCCCCACCCCTGGTTTAAATGAAGCCTGCTTACATTTCGTGTTGCATTTTCTTATACACTGAGTAAAAGCCTCACAGTATAAATCAGTCCATTGCTTTTAAGAAGAAGATGGATGGTGGACTCTTTAAATGAAAAAGACAGTTGGCTTCATTTGTTGTTGAAATGTTTTATACAGCCACTGCAAGATGGGAAAAAAATGTTCTGAAAAGTTGATAGAAAGCCAAAAATATTAATACATTAGAACATAGTGAACTTTTTACAAGCTGTAAATATTTTCTCAGACTTTCAAATATAGCTAGGAAGTATGTTCAGCCATTCTTTTCTCAACCATCTAAAATCAGTGAATAATACACAATTCATTCCCCCCTCCCCTATAATTTGCTTTGTTGTTTGCTACATACAAAAAATATCTTTTGTTGAGGAGTTTAATTGTACAGCACTGAGTCAGTGGGACTGTGAGAAACGGTTATGTGTACCTCTGTCCATGTAGCTTCATCATTAAGTCAGGATTTTGACTTCATATTTCCAGTAATTTAGCTCAACTTTCCCGCTTCTGGTGGCAATATAATGACTGAGTTATATTGATTTTAATTGCGTGTGTGTGTGTGTGTGTCTAAAATGACACACAAATTGTGTCATTGTGTGTGTCTAAAATGACACACAAATTGTTGGGGGCCATATGCTGACTCTGTAAACTGCTTAGAGAGGGCTGTAAAACACTTTGAAGCAATATATAAGTCTAAGTGCTATCATTATTGCTATACTACAGGTAGGCCTTGACTTATGAACACAATTGAGCCCCAAATTTCTGTTGTTAAATGATACATTTGTTAAGTAAACTTTGCCCCATTTTATGACTTTTCTTGCCATGATTGTTAAGTGAATCACTGCAGTTGTTAAGTTAGTAACATGGTTGTTAGATGAATCTGGTTTTTCTGCTGACTTTGTCAGAGGTTATAAAAAGTGATCACATAACTGTAGGACCCAGCAATTGTCATAAATATGAACCAGTTGCCAAACATCTGAATTTTGATCACAGGACCATGGGGATGTTGCAACGGTTGTAAGTATGAAAAAAGATCATAAGTCACTTTTTTCAGTGCTGTTGTAACTTTGAACTGTCACTAAGTGAACTGTAAGTCGAGGA